TCTTTTGCATATCGCTTTCCAGTCAACAATCCTATCTTCTAAAGGGTTTCCAAGAGCAGCTGGTAGGTTTGAACTGCTGACCTTGTGGTTACCAGTATGGTTACATCACCATACCAGGGCTCTGCTGTATATCTGTTGTTGTTGTGAAGTGCCTTTGAGTTGGCTGTGATGGGACACACTGTAACAGGACTGGGAATAATTAGAAACACTTCTGGTCCTGGCGTCACCACTAACTCACTAAGTGGTCTCAGGTAAGTCATGTCACCCCATGAATACTTGTTGTTACTATCAGTAATTGAACTGGTTCCCAACATGGAATGAAACCCTACCTACCGGGTCCCGTGCTACCTGATCCCCAGCATTGGGTGTGGAATGTACTGTTGGGATCTATAAAGCTATGTTGACTAATGTTCCAAAGTAGCTTGCTGTTGTTGTTGTTAAGTGCCGTCAAGTCGATTCCAATCCACAGTGACTCTGTATAAGGTTTCCGAGGAGCAGCTGGTGAGCTTGAACCACTGACCTTGCAGTTCAAACAGCTTTGCAGTCTGACACATTAGCCTACAGTGACATACCAGGACTCCCCAGCTTTATTAGGTCTTTTTTCCTAGTCCATCTTAGTCTGAAATCTCTGCTGAAATCTGTTCAACATAGCAACCTACAAAGTTTCACTGACAGATAGATGGTGATGGCACATGAAATACAATTGGCTGGGAATTAACCTGGGTCTCCAACATGGAAGGCATGGATTCTACTACTAAACCTTCACTGTGCCCTTGGCAACATCTTATTTTACAGACAATTAAACCAAGGACCTTGCGGCTGTAACTTTCAAGGAATCTAATGTTCTACAATTCTAAGCCTCTAAACTTTCTATTATTCAACAGTTCACAATTATAATCCTCTATGAAAACCCACCAGCCGCACCTTGGGAACTTTATACAGAGTTGCTTGCTACGAGTTGGAATCAACTCATTGGCACTTAGCAACAACAATGAAGCCGTTAAGTAATCCAGGGGGCTGTGGCTAAGCGCTGGGCTGCTAATCACAGGTTAGCTGTTCCTCAAGAGAAAGGTGAGGTTGTTTGCTCATGAAAAGAAGGACTGTACTGGAAACCCCATCTAGGGCCGCTATGAGTCAGGATTGACTCACAGTGACAGTGGTTTGGTTTGGTTCATATGGGAATTACAGAATACTTAATCGTGCTCGAGGAACTTGTACATAGTCCAAGAGGCAGTTGTTTGAACAGAACAAAGGGATAGTGAATGGTTTAAAATCAGGGAAGGTGTGTGCCACCAGGATTGTATCGATTCACCACACTTATTCAACCCGGATGCTGAGTAAAGAGTCTGAGAAGCTGGACTATGTGGAGAAGAATGTGGCAAACAACCTGCACTATGCAGCTGACACAACCTAGTTTACTGAAAGTGAAGAGGACTTAAAATACTTACTGAGGAAGATCAAAGACCCCAGCTTTCAATATGGATACACTTGAATGTAAAGAAAACAAAACCCTTCACAGACTAGACCAATAAATAACATCATGATAAATGGAGAAAAGATTGAAGCTGCCAAGGATTTCATTTTACTTGGATCCACAATCAATGCCCATAAAAGCAGCAGTCAAGAAATCAAACTGCCTTGGGGCAAATGTGCTATAAAAAAACCTCTTTAAAAAGCTGTTAAAAAGCAAACATGTTTCTTTGAGGACTAAGGTGCATCTTTTCTATTGCGTGATATGCATGCAAAAGTTGGACCATGAATAAGGCAGACTGAAAAAGAATTGATGCCTTTAAATTATGATGTTGGTAAAAAATACTGAAAGTACCATGTTGTTTTAGTGCCATTGAGTCAGTCCCGACTCATAGCAACCCTGTATAGAGTTTCCAAGGAGTGGCTGGTGCGTTTGAACCACACACCTTGTGGTTCAAACTGACCTTGCAGTCAAGTGCTTTATCCCAGAGTGCCATACTAGGATTCCCAGATAAATAAACAGATCTGTCTTGGAAGAAGTGCAGTCAGAATGCTCTTTAGAAGCAGGGATGATGAGAATTCTCTCATGTACCTTGGACCTGTTATCAGGAGGGTCCAGTCCCTGGAGAAAAACAGCATGCTTGGTAAAATAGAGGGTCACTGGAAAAAGATTACCCTCAAGAGATGATTGGCACAATGGTGTCCCAATGGGCTGGACATAGCAGTGACTGTAGGGCTGGCACAGGAGTGGGCAGTGTTTCATTCTGTTGTACAATGGATTGCTATGAGTCAGTACCAACTCGATGGTGTCTAACAATGTGAAGTCATTGTCCCATGAGCTGATACTCTGCTGTCCAATACAGTAGCCACTAGCCCCTTGTGGCTACTTGAGCACTCAAAATGTGCAAATCTGAGCTGAAATGCATTGTGACTGTAAACACACATGGGATTTCAAAGGCTGGGAATAGGTAAGTAAGCTATCTTGCTAATATTTTTCCTACTGATGGCATGTTGAAATGATGGTATTTTGATATACGGTGTTAAGTAAACTACATTATTGAAATGAATCTCACTAAACCATAGAAAATGAGGAGTGGTTTGCATTCTGTTTCTGCTGGGCAGCACTGGGGGAGCCTGCCTTGATTCCAGCATTACCACTGTCTCCCGCAGCCCAAGGAGGGTGGGCATCCCTCGCCTTGGTACCTTGTCGCTGCTGGCCTCGGTGCTCGCCTGGCTCATGGTGAGCCGTAGCGTGGTGCTGGGTGAGAGAGCCCAGCGCTGTTTGTCATTGGTGGCCACCTCCTCGGCTTGTCCATCACATACCACCTCCACTTGCACATGCTCTGAGTGCTTCAGGCTGAAGGTTTGGGCCCCGGCTGGGGCTGCGCTGTAAGGACAGAGAAGAGAGGGTCATGGGGAACCCTAGTATAGACAGGACAACGGGGTCCTGGGAAGAAGCTCTTGGAGGGCCAATGCTACAAGGACCCTCCAAGCTCATCTGATCTGGGGAACTCCAAAGAAACCAGTTGCATTGCCATTACTTGGTATGGGGAGGGGAGGGCACCTGTTAAAAAAACAAACAAACAGATTCCCAGGACCCATTTTTGGGGCTTGGGTATCTGAATTCTTAGCAATCTTCCTTATTTTTATTTATTGTGGTGAATATATACACAATGAAACATAGGGCAATTCAACAATTTCTATGTGTGTAATTCAGAGAATGGATTCCGTTCAAGTTGTGAAACCATTCTTGCTCTCCTTTTCCAAATTATGACTCCTGAGGCAAACACTCCCTCTTTCCTTCTCTCCCAACCCTGGTAGCCATGAGCCCTCTTTGGTTTGTAGGAATTTGCTTATGTCATATCTGTGAGACCCTATGGTATTTGTCACTTTATGACTGACTTTACTCGACATCAAGTTTCCAAGGGAAGATGAGGGTAGGAAGGCTGGCATCAAAGTGCTGGGCTCTTACAGGGATGGGGATGGACCTGAAGGATTATGGACTTTGTCACAAAGATCCCTTCTCTCTGGACAAAGATCCCTTCTCTCTTGTTTCCTAGGCCTGGAATTCCTCAGAGAGTCACTCCTTGGGATTCAGGGGTAGTTTCCCTCTGAAAGACAAAGCCTTCTAAGAGCTGTCAAGACTTAGAGCAGGAGAACTAACTGGTCCATTTGGTTTAAGGGGAGAGAACAGGAAGGAAAGAGAGAGGAAGTGGTAAGGAGCCCAGAGGGAACACTTCTGAACTGAGGTCTGAAGGTCCTTAAAGGCCAAAGAGACTCAGAATGGTTTATATTGGATTCTCATAGGCTTTGAGATTTAAGACATGGGCTATTATTTTGAGGACCTGGTGGCTTCTTGGTCCCAGAATAGTTCTCAACTGTGATTGAGCATCAGAAGTATCTGGGGTACTATCTAATCTTCTGCTTTTTTCAGGTTGCAGATTTGTGGGTCCCATCCCCAGAGACTTTGAGGGCACAACCTTCCTCTGTCCCTCCCTCCTTCACAGCTCAGCACAGGGAGCATTTCACTGCTCCCCTCATCTTCCCCACCCCCACCTCCAGCAGAAAGTGTGGGCCTGGCCCTGACAGGAGAGCCTCTCAGAGTACCAGCCAGTATTTACCCAAAGGAAAGTGTGGGTATCTCTGGGACACACAAGATGCTCTTAGATGCTAAATGGATGAGCAATTGAAAAGACTTAGCTGACTCATGGCAATCCCATATATATCAGAGTAGAACTGTGCTCCATAGGTTATTTTTTAAAAGTTTTTATTGTGAATTGAGTGACAGTTTACATGGGAGAACATCGGTTTTACACTCATCGTTTCATTGCAATGATTACAATCTCCGTGCATCATCAATCAACAGGATTTGCTCTATTTTTCTTTTTTTGTGTGGGGGGAGGTCTATACACAAAAACATATTATACATATCAGGAATATATAATAATTTAAATAACCAAAGGGCACATTCTGCAAGCCTGCCTCCTGGCTACCAACACACAGCCTTTCTCTTTCCATGAGTCTGTGTCATCATCTCTGCCTCTGTTTCTGGTGTCGCTGCTTCTCTGGATAGGGTCCCACATTCTGCTTGTGTGCTCCACAGGGTTTTCAATGATTGATTTTCAGAAGTAGATCATCAGACCTTTCTTTTGGGGTGTCTCTGAGTAGATTCCAACTTTTTGAGCTGAGCACCCAGGCTACCACCCAGGGACTCCAAAAGTAGATTTATGTTAATTGAATGTATTCTCTCTTTGTGGCAACTTTATGGCTTCCCATTTCTTGTTTAAAATAAAGCTATTAAAAATGTGTGTTGGTTTCATTAAACATTTTAAATTCTAGTACTACAGGTGGGATGTGGTTTTGGCAAAAAATTCGAGAGCCTGGGAAAGTATAGACTCAGCTTTGGGAAACATTTGCCAAGTGCAAATCCCAACGTCACCCAACTTGCTGGGTGGCCTTGGGCAACCTGCTTCATCTTTCTCAGTTCCACCAAATGTACAACAAGAGGAGGGGACCAGGTCAGAGAAGCTGGAGTCTGGGGAGTACAGAAAGGGTGGGACCTAGAGGCAGGAATGGGAAGGGGTTCCCTGAAAAGCTGTGGTCTCTTTGCATAATCCCCAGCCTCTTTAAAAACAGCCTCTGTTATTTGATTTGGCTTTATACATTGGGCTTCTGCAAACAATTCTGTTTAGGGAGAAAAAAAATACTTACAGACTCATATGATCTTCTAAGAGTCAGACACTGACAACAATAGCTGTATATGCATCTTCCGGGGGCCTGCCCTCATTCCTCTGGGACAATGAGAAATTGGAGGAGGCCCTGCAGACCGGGGGGATTCATGCCTGGCCCACAGCGGCCCTCAAAGTCCCCACACCCTCCCACTACCCTAAGTACCAACCTCATCTAAGCTAAGCAAACAGCTATTCTTGAAGCTGTCCTGGCAGAAGAAACAAAGGCAGCCATTGTCCCCTTGTGGATCCTGTTGGCTGCCTCCCTCCCCCAGGAAAAGCCTCAGAATCCCTCACAGAATCCAGCAAGCCAGGGACTGTGGAGACTGCATGAGGGAACAAGGATGGTATTGAGGGAAACGGAGTATGTGTTTGTGTGTGATGGGGAGAGGTGGGATGGTGGTGACAGCCTTACTTATTGGAAAGTGGCTAGTGGAAGTGTGGACAGACAGGCTGCCAGTCCCTGGTCCACTAGGACCACCATTGTGTCCCAGCACCCAGGACATGCTAAGCTCAATAGTACTTTGAATAAATGAATGAATGAACCTGCTTCTCTTGGCTTTCCAAAATGTATTGTTGCTGTTGTTAATTGCCACCGAGTTGGTTCCAACTCATAGCAACCCTGTATAGTGTTTCCAAGGAGCAGCTGGTAGGTTTGAATTGTCAACCTTGCAGTTAGCAGTCCAGTGCTTATAGCTGTGATAATTAGCACAGAAGAATTATAAGGTGTCAGGAAACCTATCCTGGGCTGGGAGAAAGGGAGGGTGTGATGTGGTAAACTATTTAATACGTCTCTTCTAGCTTTAGTCTTGGTAACTCTCACTAAATGGCTCTTCCTGCTGGGTCTGAGCAAGAGAAGGTGGGAGAAGATACTAATAGGATGATATGATTCAGTTGTGAATGATCATTTATAGAGTTAATTGCGGTTGCAAAAACTGGCAACTCGAACATGGGTATAAAATGGGTCATTTCAGAAGCAAGAGGCGGATCTTACTACTGTTTGAGAAGAAGAGTCAAGAGTGGAGTGTGTGCACTGCATCTCCTTGATCCCGGGACAAGCTGCAACACCAGAGGAGGGACAGAGGAGCAACAGAACCAAGAGCCAGCATATGAGACAGTGCAATGGACCTCCCAACCCACAGAGCAACTGAAGCTGACTGCCTTTGGGCAGGAGACTTGCTTGCAGAGTGGGGTGCCTCTAGGCATTTCATTGGGGGAGCTAGGTTTGCCGATCCATGGAGCTAGACTGAGTACCTTCAGGCTGTAGTTTATGGTGTGGTATACCCTGTGGGCATTTATCAGCAGCCCTTAAAGAGCTTTGTAAAGTTGCCTGGGCAGAGAGAGGCCTGCCTGTGGGCATGGCTAAGGGGAGGCTGTCCTGATTGGAAGAACTGTACTCTGAACATTTCTGACACTGAATTGTAAGCTGTTAACTTCTCTAATAAACCCTGTAATTATGAGCATGGTGTCTTGAGTTCTGAGTGGCCAATGCAATGAATTATCAAACCGAGTTGAGAAGTAGTATGTGCCTGGGAAGGATGGTTTGGTGCCATTGCTATGCAGAGAGCTTCCCTGAGGAAACGACATTTGGGCTGAGATCTAAACTCTAGACTCTAAAGAAGAGACAAAAATTTGCTTGACCAGTGGTCTTCAAATCTTGGAATCCCTGGGTGGTGCAAATGATTAATCTGGGTGGCTGCTGACTGAAAAGTTGGCAGTTCGAGTCTACCCAGAGAGGCCTGGTGATTTACTGCTCCCCAAAATCAGCCACTGAAAATCCGATGGAGTTCTACTCAAACACACGAGGGCCCACCAAGTCCAAGTCAACCTGGCTTGGATTCTCCAATGTTAGCAACATCAGCATCACCTGGAGGGTTTGTTAAAACACAGACTGTACTCTTGGGCCCAGAGTCAATGACATAGCCACAAAAGACTAGAGTGGAGAGTGAAGCATCCAGCTGATAAGAAGAGAGGGCATATGTATAAGAACACCCACACTTGCAGATAATACCCACTTGACCTGGCTTCAATGACTAGATGATCAGAGCTCAACCAGAAGAAGAAAGAAGATGAAAAAAAGAGTAATCTGATACAATTTGATGAACTTGACCTATACCTATGGATGCAGTAGCTCAAAAGAGGGAACAAATCTTTATAGCAAGGATCATTCCCACCCCCTCCATACACAGAATAGACAGGGATGGGCAACTTGGACACTGGTTACCCAAAATGGGGGGGGGGGCGCTACAAAGGCAAGAAGTGACTGGCTTACAAGCTTTCAAGAGGGAACCTAGATTCAGAGGGCCTGGAGGAAGGTAGAATCTCCATTGAGTAGTATCAAATCTGTCTAGGCAGGGCTGATGAAAGAAAATGCAGATAGGTCTCTTGTGATATAATAGTGAATAATTGTAATCAGGACTGCTTGTGAGGATTGTAAATGTAAAGGTAGATTTTTTTTTTAGCAAGGAGGGATGTGATTAACTTTTCAGTCTAGGAGCGGAGGTCCCTGGGACCATCAAGGGAGAAGAGCGGAGAGTGGGACCCTACCCAGAGAAGGAGTGATGCCAGAGATGGAGGCAGAGACGATGATGAGGAGAAATGGAGCAGCTGGGTACTTTAGACCCAGAGAGGGAGAGGGGCTGTGTGCTGATGACCAGGG